TTTTTAAAACACTCTCTAAAACAGCATGGAAAATATGTATGTATTTATTTATGAACAAATTTATCCAAAAATATGCCAGACCTCTACAGAGAAGCTACAAAACATCGATTACACAAATCAATCACCATAAAGAAATGTACATACATTTTGTACATGTCTCAGAACAAACAATAATGTTAAGGTACCAGTTTATCTATCTTCAATTTAATCCCAAAGAACTGGCAAGCGTTTTTGTAAAAATTGCCTAGCCTATGGGATGACTGGGTGTCTCTGTCAGTTGGGCATCTGCCTTTGGCGCAGGTCCTGATCCCTGGTTACTGGGACCTAGCCCTGCATGGGGCTCCTTGCTCAGGGAGTGTTTGTCTCTCTCACCCTCAACCCCTCCCCCTGCATCCTCTCTCTCTCTCTCTCTCTCAAACAAATAAATAAATCTTTTTTTTTTTTAATTGACAGATTCTTTTCCATGTGTGGGTGTGAGCGCGTGCTGTAGGACGCCGCTGCGGGGGTGTGCGGCGCGGTGCGGGCTGTGGGTCTGAGCGCTCCGTGAGGGGGGTGTGTATCCGTGTGTGTCCGCGTGTCCGTGTGTGTGTCCGCGTGTGCCGTGCACTAGTCACCTCCCGTGAAGGCGCGGGGCAGCGACGGTGTCATCACCCGGGAACTTGAAGTCACTCGCCCTTGCCTAGAGCGAGTAGTCCGGAGCCGCGGTGGACCCGGTGGGACTGCGGAGCAGCTGCTCGCGTCACCAGAGCGCGCGGAAGACACAGGTGCCTGCGGCCAAACGTGCAAACAAGCTTTAGTGTGTATTTTTAACGATTTTATTTGTTTGGCAGACGGGGATCACAAGTAGGCAGAGAGGCAGGCGGCGGGGGGGCGCGGGGGGGGGCTTGCTCCCTGCTGAGCGGAGAACCGGAGGTGGGGCTCCATCCCAGGACCCTGGGACCATGATCTAAGCCAAAGGCGGAGGCTTAACCCACTGAGCCACCCAGGCGCCCCTGGAAGTCTATTTTAATATATTCTTTTGTTTATTGTGCTAAGAGTTCTACTTTTTAAAGGTTTTATTTTAAATGTTAAAAAATAGTTCAGGCGCACCTGGGTGGCTCATTGGGTTAAAGCCTCTGCCTTCAGCTCAGGTCATGATCCCAGAGTCCTGGGATCGAGCCCCACATTGGGCTTTCTTCTTAGCAGGAAGCCTGCTTCCCCCTCTCTCTCTCTGCCTGCCTCTCTGCCTACTTGTGATATCTGTCTGTCAAATAAATAAATAAAATCTTAAAAAAAAAATAGTTCAGTCCGCTGAGTCTCTAACCTTACAGGGGTCTATGCCTGTCCGGCTCCTCAGTGTGTGAACCGTGTTTCCATCCGTGTGCCGCGTATTTCCGTCTGTTGGTGTAGCAGGGAATTAAACTTGCTCATATGTTTAAAAAAAAATTTTTTTTTTACAGATTCCACAATGTACATGACAAAGTAAAAACTGATTGGTAACCAAAACCATCTTGAGAAACAACAAAGTTGGAAGAATCATACCACCTGATTTCAAACTGATAGAGCTATATTAATCAAATCACTGCGCTATCAACTTACAGATAGAGAAATGCATCCAAGGAACAGAGCAGGAAATCTAAAAATACACCCACACATATACACTTAATTCGTTTTTGACAAAAATGCTAAGGCCACTCAATAGAAGAAAAGAAAGTCTTTCAACAACGTATACTGAAAAGAGTACTACTACCTGTTTGATAAAAGAAATAAACTGTGATTCATACATGTTACCATACACAATAATCAAAGACTCAATCATAAAACCTAACATTATAAATCATCTGGAAGAAGTGTATCTTTTGTATCTTCTAAAAGTGTATCTTTTTAAACTAAGGGATGCTAACATGTCTTTGACAGAAAACCAAAAGAATCTCTAACCGGAAAAAGAAAATGGAAAAACTGGGTTTCTTCAAAAACATGATGTTTCATTTACCATCTCAGTCCATTAAATAGTAGTTCCTAGTAGCACTAAGCCTTGTAAAACTGAAAAGAAATACATTCAGGAGAACCAAATGGATGAAGAATTGGGTGTTCTAAACGTTCATTGTTGGAGAGGATGTGGAGAAAGGGGAACCCTCTTACACTGTTGGTGGGAATGCAAGCTGGTGCAGCCACTTTGGAGAACAGTGTGGAGATTCCTTAAGAAATTAAAAATAGAGCTTCCCTATGACCCTGCAGTTGCACTACTGGGGATTTACCCCAAAGATACAGATGTAGTGAAAAGAAGGCCCATCTGTACCCCAATGTTTATAGCAGCAATGGCCACGGTCGCCAAACTGTGAAAAGAACCAAGATGCCCTTCAACGGATGAATGGATAAGGAAAATGTGGTCCATATACACTATGGAGTATTATACCTCCATCAGAAAGGATGAATACCCAACTTTTGTATCAACATGGACAGGACTGGAAGAGAATATGCTGCATGAAATAAGTCAAGCAGAGAGAGTCAATTATCATATGGTTTCACTTATTTGTGGAGCATAACAAATAGCATGGAGGACAAGGGGAGTTAGAGAGGAGAAGGGAGTTGAGGGAAATTGGAAGGGGAGGTGAACCATGAGAGACTATGGACTCTGAAAAACAATCTGAGGGGTCTGAAGGGGCGGGGAGTGGGAGGTTGGGGGAACCAGGTGGCGGGTATTGGAGAGGGCACGGTTTGCATGGAGTACTGGGTGTGGTGCAAAAACAATGAATACTGTTACGCTGAAAATTTAAAAAAATAAATTATTAAAAAAAATTGGGGTCACTTGTACAAAGTCCAATTCAGACTCACACAGGAAGGACTAGATAAAATTCAAAGCATCTGTCATTGGGATTGACTGAATCATTGGACTACCACTTTCCAACCTCTTAAAAATAAATGATTTTTGATGTTGCTCAGTGTTATTTATTGGAAAACAGATTCAATGATTAAGGATAAGAAAGAAATGGTACATATGGAAATTAGCTGAATTAAATCAAATGAATGGACATTGAGGCTGATCCCAGCAGGATGAAATGCAGAAGGCCCAGGCTAATTTCACCTTAGTAATATTTCAACCCTTCATTTCATTTTCCGAAGTTGTTGAAGAAGTCTGCAAAAGAATGAAATATATCGTCAAGAGGGTTTCAAAAAAGCTTGAAGAACATGGATGCTTTCTTGGTAATCTGCAAGGAGACTACAAATGCCAAAGGGCACTGAATTCCATAGAGTCAAAGGAACATGACATGTTCATCCCAAAAGAAACAGGATTGGCAGCCCTGGTCAGGAGCCTAGGGAAGCTGGTGTTTGGGGAGAACAGGAAGTAGGCCAATATGCATTAGTTTTCCCTTTATCATAACTCAGAGCAAACAAGCCTTCTTCTCAAAAGGGATGAATACTCCTTTCTACCCCCATTGGCTCCCACTACACATCCTTGAGCAAGGTGAAAAACAATGACCCCAACACTAAAAGACTCTAAGCCATATCTGGAAACATTTCCTCAAGATTTTGACGTTTGGCTACTGTGGACATTGCTGCTATAAACATTGGGGTGCATATGCCCCTTCGGATCACTACATTTATATCTTTAGGGTAAATACCCTGTAGTGCAATTGCTGGGTCATAAGATAGCTATATTTTCAACTTTTTGAGGGAACTTCATACTATTTTCCAGAGTGGTTGCACAAGTTTGCATTCCCACCAACAATGTAGAAGGGTCCCAGAAAGATCCTACATGTCCATCAACAGATGAATGGATAAAGATGTGGTGTATACATAAAAAGGAATACTATGCAGCCATCAAAAATGAAATCTTGCCATTTACAATGAAGTGGATGGAAATAGAGGGTATTATGCTAAGTGAAATAAGTCAATCAGAGAAAGACAATTATCATCATCATCAATTATCATATGATCTCACTGATATGAGGAATTTGAGAAACGAGACAGAGGATCATAGGGGAAGGGAGGGAAAAATGAAACAAGATGAAACCAGAGAAGGAGACAAGCCATAAGAGACTCAATCTTGGGAAACAAACTGAGGGTTGCTGCTGGGGAAGGGAGTTGGAGGGATAGGGTGACTGACTGACGGACATTGGGGAAGGTGTGTGCTATGGTGAGTGCTATGAATTGATAAGACTGATAAATCACAGACTTGTACCCCTGAAACAAATAATATATGTTAATAATTTTAAAAATAATAGTAATGGGATTAAGAAATATTATGTGCCTAGAAATGAATAATGCTAAAGATTAAAAAAAATTTTTTAACTGTTTAAGTACAAATCCAATCTCTCCCATATGATCAGAGGAAAGTCTTTCATTGTAAGTTTTCCATTTCTTCATCTTTACAGAGTTTACTTAGTAGAATGACTCTGAGATTTAAATTACATTGATATGTGAATTATATACTACAATGCCTGGCAAGTGTCCACACTCAACAAATTTCATAATTGACGTTCCATGAGTGTTGAAGGACAGGAAAGATGAACCAGGACTAGGAATACTGTACTGTCTTGATCCTCAGTGAATGTCCAAATTCCCAGATATATCCTGAATAATGCTCACAAGATTTTGCCTCAAGGAAGCTCTCATTTTAGAGCTGTTCTTCAGTTTTAGAAAAGTCAAGGAAACAGCAACTTTTCTGATAAAAAAAAAAGAAAAAGAAAAAACACACACACATAAACAGTTACTGCCCCAAGGAGACACTGACTTTGGTCTTCTCAATGGCATTTTTACTAGAGGTGAATTTTTCCTATTTAATGCCAACATTTCAAGACCATGAAGGTAAATTGTTGAACAAAGGCCTGCAAATCTTCAGCCTCCTCTGAGATCTATCAGTTGTACTGATTTGTAAAACCAAAAGCAATTAGAGAAATATGAAAATAGAGCTTTCTGACTCCCACTCTGAAATAGAGTCTACTGAGAAAATAAAGAGCCAAGGAACCCAGGTGCCCAATAAAGAAAGAACTCAGATCAGGTGGATTTACTCCTTAGAAGGCCACCAATGCTGGTCCCAGTGTCAGAAGCTTCAGTGGTGTCCTCATCAATGTCACTGTCTTCGGTGACTTCATTATAATCAGTGGCAATATCAGTGATATCATCAGCTGGAGCTGAAACAAGGAGGAAAAGATCCAGCTGAGAAGCTTAACTCTGCCACAAGAACAAAATTTGTCCATACCCAAACTTGGAGGTATGAATTGATCTCTGCAAATATCAACAATTCTATCATAGCCTTATCCTGACTAACCACTTTCCTTTGCCTCATTCTTCATAGCCCTGCCTTGTGGAACAGAAAGAATTTGGATTTCCCTACAAGAACTGTGACACTAAGAGAAGACATAAGCAAATACTTTCTCGCCATGGTGAACACAAAATACCAAATCCATATGTGTTCCTATTGACAGAGATCAAGACTCAGAGGCAACAAGAAAGCCCCAAGTGGGCTGACTTTGGTGCCTTCCCATGGGCTAACTTGAACTGATTCATTTCCATAGCAGCATGTATGGGTGTGAGTGGTGAAGTAAATTGTACAAGAAAAGAGAAGAAATAAGATCGTGTATCTCACATTAGACCAATAGGATCTCTTTCCTTTGAATGAAGCACAGTCTCTTCCCTCAGCTTCTGACCTCCAAGGGGATTATATTTGTCTCACCTGTTGTTCAACTTGGACTCCATCTATTACAGAAGTATCTCAGAGAGCCATTAGATGTCACAGGAGACATTAATGTTATTCTGGCAGTGGTTAAAGTGAGCAAATTCCCCATCAATCACCCCTTGTCCAAAGGTAATGTGGCAAAATTTATGACAATTATGACTCTCTAGACCTATGCCAGAGCTCCTGACAAATAATTAGTGTCAAACCCTACATTTTTTAGTTGCATTAACCCAACAACTGGACAAATCATTCTACATAACCACACTCTACCCATGCTCTCTTTCCTCATTCAGAAGGGAGGATGTTGTTTTCCACTGGCTTCACATGGCAGGTAGGACATATGGTACAGTGTGTGAGATCTGACTGTAGTCCCTGCCCTTATGACAAAAGGACACAGGTCTCCAAGTGTGGAGAAAAAAAGAGAAATCTTCTTTATGTCTGCATGAGCACAACACACATGGTATTGGACATACAGATCACTGTGGGAGAAATCCAAAATATATTAGGGAGTTTTGTCCACATTTGTGTCAGATCACAGAAGAAAAACACATGTCAGGCTGGAAATACAGCATATATATCATTACAAAGAGAAAAGCTTAACACCATCCTTCTACTTTACTCCTACATTCCACAGTCTCTGTTCCACACTCCCAGGTGCCCCAAATGCCCGCATTTCTACATCACCTTCAGCATCTACATTCTCTTCCATCATCCTGAGTCTAATCCCTATTTTCATATTCTGGCCATACATTCAACTCTTCATTTTATGGGAATCAGAAAGGCTTACCAGACCACAAATTCAGACCACATTCCCTTGTCGTTTTTCATAGAGAACAATTTATATAATCCACAATTTATATAAATCTATGCCAGAGATTTTATATTCTCTAATAAGGTATAAGAAATCAACAGATCTTCTGGGTGAAAGACCTCAATGTAAGACAGAAATCCATCAAAATCCTTAAAAAGAACACAGGCAGCAACCTCTTTGACCTCAGGTGCAGAAAATTTTTCCTAGAAACATCACCAAAGGCAAGGGAAGCAAAGGTAAAAATGAACTATTGGGACTTCATCAAGATCAAAAGCTTTTGCACAGCTAAGAAAACAGACAAAACAAAAAGACAATTGACAGAATGGGAGAAGATATTCACAAATGACATATCAGATAAAGGGCTAGCATCCAAAGTCTAGAAAAAACTTATCAAACTCAATACCCAAAGAACAAATAATCCAATCAAGAAATGGGCAGAAAACATGAATAGATATTTCTGCAAAGAAGACATCCAGATGGCCAACAGACATGAAAAAGTGCTCAACATCACTCGGCATCAGGGAAATACAAACCAAAACCACAATGAGATACCACCTCACACCAGTCAGAACGGCTAAAATTAACAAGTCAGGAAATGACAGATGCTGGCAAGGATGCCGAGAAAGGGGAACCCTCCTACACTGTTGGTGGGAATGCAAGCTGGTGCAGCCACTCTGGAAAACAGTATGGGGGTTCCTCAAAAAGTTGAAAATAGAGCTATCCCACGACCCAGCAATCACACTACTGGGTATTTACCCTAAAGATACAAATGTAGTGATCTGAAGGGGTATATGCACCCCAATGTTTATAGCAACAATGTCCACAATAGCCAAACTATGAAAAGAACCTAGATGGCAATCAACAGATGAATGGATAAAGAAGATGTGGTGTGTATATATATATATATATATATATATATATATATATATATATACACACACACACACACACAATGGAATACTATGCAGCTATCAAAAGAAATGAAATCTTGCCATTTGCAATGATGTGGGTGGAATTAGAGAGTATTATGCTGAGTGAAATAAGTCAATCAGAGAAAGGCAATTATCATATGATCTCTCTGAAATGAGGAATTTGAGAGGCAGGCCAAGGGGTTGTGGGGGGTAGGGAAGGAAAAAAAATGAAACAAGATGGGATTGGGAGGCAGACAATCCATAAGAGACTCTTAATCTCAAGAAACAAACTGAGAGTTGCTGGTGGGTGGGGTGCTAAGGATAGGATGGCTGGGCTACGGACATTGGGGAGAATATGTGCTATGGTGAATGCTATGGAATGTGTAAGCCTGATGATTCACAGACCTGTACCCCTGGGGCAAATAATATATTATATGTTACTTTAAAAAAACAAAAATTAAAAATTAAAAAAAAGGAATCAGCAGATTTTCTATGTTCATAATAAGCTTCAGATACAGGACTCTGCTTCTCCAGACTTCTGCTTTGCAGTGTCTATATATTGTCTTCCATGGCTGCTTTGACACAAAGCTGGGATGGAAGACAGTCATGACAGAAAAGACATGAAGTGTAAGTGCAGAATTACCAGTAGAGCTATCAGATGAAGCATCAGTTGTAGTCTCTGAAAGAGAAAAAGAAAAAATAGGTGTAAGTTGAACACCAGTTTGGCAGGTAGAGGGAAAGAGACTATGGACCATATTGCAGGCTTTCACGATTGAAGAAAATTGGGCTTTCCTACACATGTTGAGGGCAGAGAGATGCACAGATAATATGAAACCCCCAAGCCCCACAAAAACAAAAAAATAATACATCTCCATTTTTGCTTTCCTGAAAGCAACCTCTGGTGACCTTAAACATATTGTCCTGAACGAACACCAAAGGTGGATTCCAAGGTTAAAACTGAGCAAAACCTTACTGTCTTTGTCAAAGCTTAAAGGGAAAGTCCCATCTATCTTGAGCTATCAGGCAAAATGGAGATGGAATGAGGGTACTGGAGTGGAGGACAAGGGTCCAAGTACATTAAGCCCCTCCAAACCCACATTGACACAGAACTAATATCTTTGATGTCCTCTTGCTCCAGACCTTATTTTCATGTAAGTATCTTTATTTACGGCCTGAGACCAGGAAAGTGGAAACTGCCACCAGTACCAGCATCGCCAAGACCTTCATGCTGGTGAATTGATTAGCAGAGCGCGTATAGGAAAGTGTCAGAGCTCAGGAGGAGGTAAGATTCTGACTCCAGCAGGCCACATCATGACATTATAGAGGCAGAGGGCACCAATCAGGGGCTGCCAGACCAGAATCTGGGCTAGTTAATGCCAGGAAATGTTGGTACTCAGAGAAACCACTGGAGAGTCAACAGCATAGCCAGAGGCCCTTTGGAAAGATCACCTAGTCCCTTGATTCTGGCACAGGTCTTAAGTCAAGAATTTCCCATATTTGAACATTTTCCAGAGAACAACTTTGCTTCAGGCTCCCTCTGTCTTGTATGGTAGGGTGACCCCATGATTACCAACTCTGCTGACAAGCTGAGGGGCCTGATAGCCAGCTTTGTGGGATTACTCAAACCTGCAGTGCTTCTTTCAGACACATTAGAAGTTGGATGACTACAGCTTTCTTAGTTCTAGGTTTCCTCAAAGCAGAATCATCAGGGAATGGCAGCTGTTCTCAGAACCATCCACCTAGGTCAGGCTGTACCTTTCTCCAGCAACGGCCTCCTTCATATACATGTAGATACTCTCATCTGACACACACAGTGACCCCACACTGACAGGATCTCTCTGGATTTGAGTACTTCTTGTGGAGAAATTCAAAGTCAAAAAGAAAGAAAATGGGGGACACCTGGGTGGCTCAGTGGGTTAAAGCCTCTGCCTTCGGCTCAGGTCATGATCACAGGGTCCTAGGATCGAGCCCCGCATTGGGCTCTCTGCTCGGCGGGGAGCCTGCTTCCTCCCCTCTCTCTGCCTACTTGTGATCTCTATCTGTCAAATGAATAAATAAAATCTTTTTTAAAAAAGAACTAAAAAAAAGTTTTAAAAAGAAAGAAAATGGAAAATGAACATTTGTTAATGCAGGCATGAATCAATGCATTCATGCAACAAAAATATACTGAATGCTACACATTAGAGAAACAAGATGGAGCAAAGCACATAAAAATTCTATGTGACATGTGCAGTTATGAGCATTCATCCATCACAAAGTAAAAAAAAAAAGAAGGAAGAAATGAAGGGAAGACAGAGGAAGGAAAACAGTATGTAGTTTGTAAAATGATGAGACCTAATAAATAATAAAGGAAAGAAGAAAGGAGAGTATCTCTGGAGACAAAAAGTGAAGTTATAATCTTAGATAAGCTATCCAAAAAAAGCATGATAGAAAAGGTGATACTAGAAAAGGATGCTGAGGAACGAATCCTGTAATGTCTTTGGAAAGTGCGTTCCCAGGAAGGGAAAAAGTGGGATCAAGGCCCTTATTCCTATAGGTCTATTTGCAGGTGCTGAGTAGACCCCAACACTGAACACGACTTGTCAAACTACTTGCCCTTATTTGTCACACACCCCAGCTAAGTAAATGTGACAATGAAACAAAACTCCACATTCATATCTCAACCAGGTGTGAAAACCATCCAGGTCTCCAATGAAAGGTATTGAACATGTCTTGGAAAACTTGGAAATGATGAGAAATCACTAAGTTCTTAATGATCCTTTGCAGTTAAATGGCTCTAATATTTCTTCTTCATACTAAGTATGCCTTTCAGTAACATACCCTCAATGGGAGAATCTCTGTCCTGTAGAATAGCAAAGAACAGCTACTTCCTCTTTTGTACAGAAACATACTTGATATTTAACACTGTGTAAATTTAAAGTACACTACATGTTAATTTGATACATTCATATATTGTATATGTTTGCCATTGGAACATTAATTACCACCTCTCTCATGTTACATAATCATCATTTCTTTTTTACAGGTTGAAATAATTAAGTTCTACTCTCCTAGCAAGTCTGATGATTGTAACAAAATATTGTTGTCTATATTGTGCCTATCACTATATTGTGCATTAGATCTCTGGTGCTTACAAATTATCAGGGAAATACAAGTCAAACCACAATGAAATATCACTTCACAGTTATTACAATGGCTGTCATCAACAAAGCAAGAGGTAACAAGTGTTGGCAAGCTTGTGCAGAAAAGAGAATCACATTACAGTGTTAGTGGGAATGTAAATTAGTGCACTTGCTATGGAAAAGAATATGAAGGTTCCACATAAAACCATAAATTGTGTTCCAGCAATCCTCCTTCTCAGAATATACCCAAAGGAAATGAAACATGATCTTGAAGAGATTTCTGCCCCCCACCATGTTTACTGCAGCATTATTCAAAGTAGCTAAGATAATAGAAACAACCACATGTCCATCAATGGGTGAATGGATAAGAAAGATGTTGTGTGTGTGTATGTGTATATATATATATACACATATGTAAAATAAATAGTTTAGCCATGAGGAAGAAGGACAGCTACCATTCACTACAAGGGTGGACCCTAAGCACATTATGCTAAGTGAGATAAGTCAGAAAAACACAACTGTTGCAAGTTATCACTTACATGCGGATTCTAAAAAAGCCAAACTTATAAAAATAGACATTAAAAGTGTTGTTATCTGGGATGGGGTGTGGAGAGACAGGACAGATGTTGTTTAAAGGTATAAACTTAGAATAAGGAGTGAAAAAATACCCCTGAGGGCTCTTCCTTATTTGGGTGAGTCTCTGAGGCACCAAAGCCACTCTGCTTGCCAAGACATATTGGGGGGTCGTTATCAGGTAGATCATGAAAAGTGGCAGGGATCTCTGAGAAGGCACCCTGGTCTCTGAGGCAAGGGGTTGTCCTGGTCTGAGGTAACCCCACTTCTGCCATGAGGCACATACTTGTCAAACCATGATGAAGAGTTAACATTTTTAAAAAATCAAAACAGGAGCACCTGGGTGGATCAGTGGGTTGAGCCTCTGCCTTTGGCTCAGGTCATGATTTCAGGGTCCTGGGATTGAGTCTGGGATCGAGTCCCGCATCGGGTTCTCTGCTCAGCAGGGAGCCTGCTTCTCCCCTCTCTCTCTGCCTGCCTCTCTGTCCGCTTGTGATCTCTCTCTCTGTGTCAGATCTCTCTCTCTCTGACAGATTGCTCTCTGTCAAATAATTAAATAAAATCTTTAAAAAATAAAAAAATTTAAAAATCAAAACAAAACATATTCTGAAGGAAAAGAAACAGAAACAAAACTTTTTTAAGTGTGAAAGGAAGTAATCAGAAAGTAATGGGGCTCCAGGATTATACCCAGTATGGAATAAACCCCAGCGGCCCAGCCAGCCACTCATGGGCTCTCAATAGAATCAGACACAAACTGAAGTCTTACCTAGGACGTGGTTTCTGTATTGAGCCCCCCCTCTAGGCCTTTCACCATGTGACCAGTGTAGGGCACAGAGAGCAGATAGAGTGATAGGGATGACTGGTTTCCTGAAGAAAAAAAGACTACAAAGTGCATCATTTAAAGTCCACTCAGGATTTAGAAACAACATAGTGGGTGAAACAGGGGAACTTTAATATAAAGAATACTGAATTCTGATACATGGTTAACTCTAAGGAATTCCCATGTGGAACCCCAGGGCTGAGAATATACTCAAGGAAGAACAATGGTAGAATATATGGCCTTCTCTCTGAAACTGCTGGTCAGACCTTAGTCAACAAGGTGCATAGCAGAGATCTTTGCTGATATTCCCAGACTGAAGCTGATCTATAATTGCAGGACCAGCAGGGAATAACCATCCCCCACTACCCCTCAGAGTGCAGGGGAGAGGAGATAATCAGCAACCCATGGCCTAATGTGCAGAGAAGGTGTGGGCTCAGGGTGAAAGTGGACCACATGGGACCTGCAGAGAGAGAGAAATGTGGCTCAGTGGGAACCCCCAGGCCACTAACAGGGTCTGCTGAGTGAATCAGGACTGGTGCAGAAACGTGTCTTCATGATGCCAGGTCCCAGGTCAAGAAGGTTGTAGACAGATTAGTGCCAGTCCACAACCAGGCTGCCAGCGCCCCTAGAACTGCAAATGCAGGCCACGTGGCTGGGGCAGGACTCATCTTCACATTTCCCACACCCACACTGCTGACCACCATGCTGCTGCTACAAACCACAGGAAGCCCCTTCCTCTGACAATCTCTCTCCAGCACCCTCTACTGAGAAAGTGAACATTGCCATCACTGTAAAGGGCAAATGCTGAATGAGTTCTCTGCACATGGCAGAGCATATGCTGAAGGGCGCATTTGGAACTCAAGCGCAGTAAATTGACAAATGACACAACAGGACACATAAAAATCCAAATGACTCTGAGCCTCAGATTCCCAGGTGCAGTAGTAAGACCCCAAGTCGCCCACCAAGGTTCCACCAGCACAGCTCGACGCTCATTTGTCATCCAATTAGCTTCCTCGATAAACATGGACAAGTTTTCAGGCATTGTTTTCCTGAAATGGTGGGAATTTCAGTGACATTGTAATGCTTCTAATACTATTTTTTTTTAGCATTTTCCTTTTAAGAGGCATCTAAAAATTGAGTTGCAATACACATAAATACTGAAAATATGCTCACAAATACCAAGAAAATTTTCACTAAAATGAAGGAGTGCTCTATCAAAATTAGACTGAGATCATTTCCATAACTTTTATTTTCTACAGTATGTGGCATCTATTTTTATTTAAACATATTTTATGCAAAATCAACATTATGGGCACCTGGTTGACTCAGTTGGTTAAACGTCTGACTCTTGATTTCAGCTCAGATCATAATCCCAGGGTCCCAGAATCGAGCCCCGCATTCAGCTTCATGCTCAGCGCAGAGTCTGCTTGAGGTTCTATCTCTTCCCTTTCCACTGCCCCTCCCCACCACTCTCACTCTAAATAAATAGATAAATAAATTAAATATTTAAACTAAATTTATGGATATAGGTGTAGATCTAGATATAGATATATATCAGCCAATGTAGCCAATTTACTTATGCCTTGGAATAATTTTTCTTACTAAGAAAATAAGAAGGGAGGGAGGGGCAAGATGTAGGAGATGCTGTTTCAACCAGTCCCCTAAAGTGAGCTAATTATCTACCAGAACACTAGGAACACCCTTGAAATCAGCCTGAGATGTAGGATTATACACTTCTGGATTCTACAGGGGCAGAAGACACCA